CGGCGGGGGCGGGGCGGGGCGGGGCGCGGCGGGGCCCCAGACCCGACCCCGTGGGAGCACGCCCCGCGGGTTGTGCCGCTCCCAGTCGCGGCGGCGCTGATCCCGCAGGGTGGAGACGGACGCCCCGGCGGAGACTCTTCTCTTCCCTCTCTTCCCCGCTCCGCTCACTTTTCGAGGAAAGTGAGGCTGTTTGCCTTCCCCTGGGCCTGGCCGGAGGTTCCGGAGGTGGGGCCCGAGTGGTCGGGGTCGGGCCCCCGGGGGGAGCGGTCGCCAAGGCCGCCAGCGTGACACAGGGGACACTGGGCTCGGCAAACTGCTCATCTTGGTCGGGGCGAGGGATTGGCTGCCCACCTCTGATAAGCGATCTGCAAAGTGACTCTCGCTTCCGGTGGTGCCTGGATGCCCGGCCGGCAGGGACCGCCTGACACTGCCAGGGAAGTATAAAAGTACACGCGTACTTTGACTCCGTGGCAACAGCAACAGGACGTGCGTGCCCTGCGGCGGGAGTGCCGGCGGGGCCGGGGCCCTGCGGGGGGCGCCGCCGCCTGTGCGAGGGGTCGATACCTCCCCCCGCCTCCCGCGCCACGGCGGCGCCGCGCCCGACAGCGAGGGGTTGTGACAAGAGCGTGCCGCGAGGCGCTGCTGATGGATGGGCGGTGTGCGGGGCGGGGGGCGAATCTGGCGGAAGTGGCGTGTAGTCTGTGCAGCATTTGGAGAACCTCACTTGGGCTCTCCGCTGGAACCGTCAGGCGGGTTGAAAGGGTTCCCACCAACACCATATCTAGACTAGAGAACGTGCGGAAATCGACGCTAAGGCAGTATGTGCGTAACCCCGCAACGACTATAGGCTGCGACCACCACCGCAACCGCACCACAACTCGACACCCCCGCAGCTCGATGTGGGTCATCTGGCAGTATAGCAAACGACGCCGGCCGTCAAACGCCGGCATAGGGTTTGCCTCAATTTGACGCCACTCGACGCCGGCCAGGGCAGGGGGAAGCTCGGAAAGGGGGAGGGGCACTGCGTGGTCACGCGAGCCATGATGGCCGGGCGGGGGAAGGGGGAGGGGGCGATTGCGCGTGTGTGAGCGTGTGCGTGTGTGTGCGTGTGTGCGTGCGTGCGTGCCTGTGGGGCTGGAGGGCCGCGCGCACCGAGTACACTCCCACAATGGCGGCGCACTTCCGTTCGCAATAAACGCCCCGGACACCGGGCTCGATCAGGGGCAGGGCAGGGTCGAGAGCCGAGCCGCTGCCGGCGCTCCTCCTGCTGGGTGCGCGACGCGGCGCGGGGAAAACCTCCAACGCCCCAACGGCGCCGGGGAAAAGGGAAAGGGCGCCGGGCGGGGCGGGGCCCGGGCCGGCAGCAGGGCAGCGCGACGCAGGACGAGGCACAAGAGCCTCATCTGGTTGATGGCCGCGGGGGCCACGACCCACGCCCCTCCGCTTATCACAGCAAGTTGGACGTAAATACTTTGAGTGCGCCCGTTTGAAGTCTGCGCGCGAATGCGTGTGCCCGCCGTGCCGGGCCGTGTCGGGACCAGTGCTCTCGCATCCTCGCATATCGGGATCGGGATCGGACTGACGGGCGCGGCGGACTGGCGGACACGCCTCCGCCGTTTGTGACGCCAGCGCCACCTATGGGTCCGCGCAGCAGTCCCTGCGGCCGCGTCCACCAACGCGAGGGGTATATCCGCATGAGCGCGCTGCGGCCGCCGGCTGGGTAGGCAGCCCATCGCGCTCGCGTGCCGGCGGGCTGCTCGACCCCGGCACGACGGGCGGCCGGCCGTCACGCCACAACGTCAGCTCACTGTGGGGCTTCCCCCTCCCTTCCCGCCAAGTTGCTTTGCTTTGTGGGCGCGCTGGGACACGCGTGACTATACTTCGTCACACGACCCCAACTCGGCCGGCATCATAAGCTACTGCTTCCCCCTTCGTATGCCTGTTCGCAGTCACACCAGGCAACATGTTTCTGTGGGGCTTCCCCCTGCCCCCCACCATCCAAGTTGTTTTTCCTTGTGGGCGCTGCAACACACGTGACTATACTTCGTCACACAACCTGACTCGGACGGCATAAGCCCCCTGCTTCCCCTTCCAATGCCTGTTTGCAGTCACGCTACACAACACGTTCTTGTGGGGCTTCCCCCACCTTGGTCGGTTTTGGGCGGGAGGATGCGTCATCTCGTCACTTCGTCACACGCCCAACCGACCGACCCGACCCGACCCGAGCTATCGCCCGCTTCCCCCCACCACAAACCACACACGTTCCAACTCGTCGCAGAGGCGACATGTTCGGACACGTTTCGACGTTCCGCGAAGTATTTTTCTCGGGTATTTTTCCACGCGCCAAAAGGTATTGCGCAACTCTATGTGCGCAATACTGCGCAATATGGGCTGTGACAACGTGCTTAAATACCCAACAAACAGTAATAATCCAAAGGCGTCGACTTTTTAAAGCGATGGAGAGGTTCTGCCCTGAGTGGAAGGGCTAATACTCCCCAGTGTTGCGGGTTTGCATGCCCAAGGGGCTATGGCGCCTTACGGGCAGATCGGTTAGGCAAACCTTTAAAGTCAGACATATGAGTGCACAGTCATTTCCGTTGCCTCCGAGTGCATGTCAAGCTTTGGCTACGTGACGTTCGTCACACCGAATGGAGATAGCTTGCATTGCATCCTGCCCGAGGCACTTCCCTGCGCTTCGCGAAACTGGATCTCGTCATTGACGTCATTAGTATCTTGCCCTCTCTCTTTATCTCCCTCTAGCCCGTACTAATAAGCGCGTAAACAGTGACGTGTCTATCTGTGACGAAGTGAGTCACCCCCTCGCCAGCCTGTCACGGGGCCGAGCTGGGCGGACGCCCCTCATCCGCCGCGGCCGAAGCCGCCAGCCGAGCGCAGCCGACGCAGCCGAGCGTCGCCCCCGCCCCTCCCCGCCCCCGCCGAGGCACACCTACAGGCCGCGTCAAGGCCCCTGCGCCCGATCCCGGCCAGCATTCTGCGACTCCGCTCGCCAGCAGCCACACCGCCCGGCACCACAGCCCGCTGTTTCACCGCTCTTCGACTTTTCGCCGTCCTCAGGACTCAGCCTTCCGAGCGTCTCCAGCAACAGGTGAGATAGCGAAAGAGTGACTTTTCCCTTTAGTGCAAGTCCCCAAAAAGTTTTTTTGGCCCTACGCTCGTCGCGGATCCGTTTGTTTTCGTTGGTTTGCGCAACATGGCCGGCTGCGCCGCGCGGGGCTTTCTCTCGGCAGCTGCTGAAGCAGATGTAGGCCGCGCCCGTTTTAGCCGTCACGTTGACAGGTTGACGCCCCCCGCGGGGCAACCGCAGGGTTAGGGAAGGTCGTTCACCTTCCCTTACTTCCTACTGCGGTACGTCGCTGACCTGACGCGACTGATCTCGTCAGTTTGTTGTTTCACCCCCCACTTTATCACCCGAGCATATCGTCACCTGGTGCGTGCCCCGCTGCCCCCGTTTGCCGTTCCTTTCGTATCCAAACAGTGCGACCCCCCGCACCGCGTGCACCGTCTGGCCCTCCGAGGCCACCGGGCCATCGTGTGGTGCAACACACCCAACCGTGTCGCTGGCTCTCCTTTAGAGGCGTGCCCCACTGCTCACCGCGTCCCCGGGGAGCGGGCGGGGCGTCGGCCGGGTCGGGCGTTATCCTGGCCGCCGTCGGGGGCCGTCATGTCGACGTCGACCCCCGTATGGTGACGGACCCCGCAGGGACACCTGTGCCCGTCGATCGTTCTCTCCTCGCCCTGCCGAACACCCGGCGCTACTCTACCGCCCCTCCGAGTCACGAGCGGTATGGGCACGCCCAACATGTCGTGCAGGGCGGGCGGGCCGTCAGAGAGGCACACTGTCAACACGAGGGCTGCCAGCGCCAGCGTGGCGACGCAAGGCTGAGCCGTACTCGGTACCGACCACGGCGCCGCCGATACCCGCCCGCCTTTGTCCGGTCGCGTCCGGAAGTAAACGGCAGAGCAGAGGGAAGGCCACCACCTCGGCTGGCTCGCGGCAGTGGCAGGATGTATCAAATAATTGGGTCGAGGAATGCTTTTCCCCCTTTGCCTCCCCGGCGGCCGCCGGCGAGCAACAGCGCGTTTGCGTGCCTCCTCTGGACGCGCCCGTTTTGTTACTTGGCCCCTTCCCGGTGGCGGCGGCGGCTCTCGTGTTAGGGCAGGTCGCCCCGGCCCCGCGGGCCCCTGTGAGGTAGGCAGTCGCGAGTCACGCGAGGCCGTCGTGTTGGGCGGGCCGCCTACCCCCGCCCCGCTAGGCGCCCCTTAAGGACGCTCACCCCCGCCCCGCCCGCCGCCTCACCTCACGCTGCGTGCAGGTGGTGCAGGGCCTGGTCTCGCTACATTTTCAATCTCGAGATCTTTGTTGTAAATTGTCACCAACATTGGAGACGTTTTCCACAAAATATTATTTTAAGAACTTCTTGCGTTTCTTGTTTTTATTTTATTTCTATAATTATTTTTTGTAAACGAAAAAGTGTACATCCCTTTCTGACAACACACCATGTACTGCTATCTCTGACGCCTTGTCTTCCCTTGATGTGCCCAGGTGAGCAGGATGCAGCCCTACAACCAGCAGCCACAGTACGGCGGTGGCCAGTACGGCCCCGGCCCGTACCCCCCGGGCCCCATGGTGCCCCCGCCCCCGCAGGCGTACCCGCAGCCCGGCTACCAGCCCGGCTACCAGCCTGGCTACCAGCCCGGCTACCAGCCCCAGCCCGGGTACCCGCAGCCGCCGCCGCAGCAGGTGGTGGTGGTGCAGGAGACCAAGCAGGACGACAACTGCTGCGCCCTGCTGACCTGCGGCCTGCTGAGCGGCGCCTGCCTGGGCTGCTGCTGCGACTGCTGCTGCGACTGAATGTGATATCCACCTGTTGTGTGTGTGTGTTTGAGTGTGTGTGTCCGCGTGTTTGAGAGAATGGGCGAAGAAGAGAGAGTGAAAGGGCTGTATCAGTATTGGTTACTTTGTACGCAAGCGGTCTGAGAAAGCCTGCGAGCGAGACTACGTCACAAATGTTAATTCTTTTTGTCTTTGTTTTTATTTTTTATTTTTTTGTGAGATCAAGTGGCAGTGAATTTACGTAATGATCGTGAAGCTCGTCCCACGCGGTCAGAGACGGCGCCGGTCGGTGTACAGTCTAGTATGTAGTGCTCGAGGACTTTGCCGCGCCACCGGCCGCGGGGTGGCATTCGCGTCCTCACGTCCTCCGCTCAAAGCCCGCGCCCGTGGCTCGCGTTGGGCCCTTTGTCCACCAACCGTCCTCCCACGACGTGTATGCCTAAAGAAAGACTGGACATTTGCCTGCTGTGCGGGCCGAAAATGTTTACTGTATTCTATTTGTCAGAAGTTAGTGTTCTTTGGCACAGGAAGACCTCACTGGTAAAGAAAAGATCGGACATATTGTTCAATCGTTGGTGCCTTTAGAAAGGCATTGCGTGTCCTAAAGTCAGTACAGTCAGAATTTCCTTACCGTATCACGAGTCCGGCGGTTTTTTTTTACCGGTGTTATCTTCCTGTGCAGCGCAGAAACGCAAATGCCGTGCGTAAAAAAGACGGTACGTTGATGGTCTATGTCGAGCCATGCAATGTATTGTCTCGTCTTGGCATCTCTGTTATTAAGCCGATGGTGAGCATCTAGTCAGTCGAACCCCACGAGTTTTTGTGAACTCGGGGATCCGGTTAGATCCCAACTGTATGTGCGTAGCACCTGCTAGTGAGACTGAGAAGTTGTGGAGTTTCCCCCTCTTTCGCCTCTCACTTGTACTTGCATTCCTACCTCTGACGCTTGCCGTCCTGAGAGGTGTATTCTTGTGTCTACTGTCTCCGTCTGTTTGGACTTCCCCAGGGAGTAGATGCACTTTTAGCAGTGAAATGTTTTTATTATTTTTTAAAATGAAAACCATTTATTGTAAATTATTGTCGTAGAGGGGAACTAAATTTTTGTGATCTTTCATTCAACAGTTGTTTTTTTTCCTTTTTTTTACATTTTGTCAAATCATTATCATTTTCTTGTGTATTTATCATATGTAATTTTTCATCTAGGAAAGTTTTCTATAGTAGCTTGACTAGTATATTAGAACCTTTGTACATGTCGAGCTAATGTAAGCGATAAAAGTCCAAAACCTTGTAAAGGCCTCGTTTTTTACTACCCTTATTTCTTTTCGGCAAGCAATAAAGTAAGGTAAATGTAGTGCCCCCCCCCTCCATCTCTTTCTCCTTGCCTTCACTTAGCTTTCTATTTCGCACATAAAATGCTTGTTCCTAGTTGGTTCTGGCTCTTTCCTGCCTACCAAATTCTGTCCAAGTGCCACTAATGTGACTCTGAGCCTGCTGTCGGTAAGCGCGGGTAAAAGTCCTGTAGTAAGGTACTAATGTTTACTACCTGCCTTACAAAATCTCTCCCACACACGCGTTTATCTGCCGGACCGAGTAGGAGAATTTCAATCACCCATTCTTTTTCTTTTCTTTCTCCTTCGTGGCAGTTGTGACTTTGTTTCCATGGCCAATAACGTACAATGTTGACAGTTTGACTGGAGGAGCGCAAGCCGCACGGTACTTGACAATCTATTATTCTCCTTCATTTCGAGTCCCGCCGCGCAGGCCGCGGGGCGGGACTATTTTCTTTTTCATCCTGCCCGTCAGAGATTAGATAGAGCGGCCCGGCACATGCAGCCGTCGCCCCCGCCCTCGGCAGATTAGCGCGTCCGCGTGACGAGCGCCGCCATCCTGGGCCTGCGCGTCCTGGGACAGGACAGTGCGCAGCATGTAGCTTAGCCTCCCTGCATGCGCCATTATTATTATTATTTCGGCGCTGTCGTTGTCAAAGCACGGGCGGAAGTAAGCGCTCGCGAGAACACGTGACCCGTGCCGCGCGCCGGCGCTGGCGGAGGTTGGCAGGTGCAGGCGCCGCGCCGTCGTGACCGACTATGCGAGGCCGAGGAATACACCTGTCCATAAGCACCACCACTCGACACGGTCCTGACAAACACATAGTACACTGCACTGCGCGACCGCGGGTGAACGCCTGCTCGGCTTGCTCGGGCCGCTCGGCTCACCGTGCTCACCGTCGAGCGAGTCCTTCGGCTCAGCCCAACCGCTACCGCTGCCCGGCACTACCATGACCTCCTCCCGACCTTGATATGGAAGTCGAAGCCCCCACCAAGCCACGCCAAACGCCAAGGCACTCGACCAAAGACATCCAGGCCATGTACGGTGCCGGTAGATGATAAAAAAACGAGAGAGAGACAGAAAACAGGATGCGGCGTCTTAAAGCTGATGCGCCGGCTCGAGCGCCTATCTGTGTGGGTGGCCTGGTCCGGCTAGAGCCCTAATCGTTACGGCGAATTTCACCA